ATTATGTAAATTTACAGAAGAGAGACTAAGGGAACTGCTGGATTTTTAGTTGCCTTTTTTTTTCCCAAAAAGAAATACTAATTTCTAAAAGATTCCTCTAAAGTTAAAAAGAGAGAAAGAAAGATGTGGGGGCTGGCTGATTAGCTCGGTTGATTAGAGTGTGGTGTTACAACACCAAGGTCAAGGGTTCGAATCCCCATACCAGCCAGATGCAAAAAAAAAAAAGAAATTTTTTTTTCTAAACTGTGAATCACTATAGAAATGTGTTGTTGAAACCCTGAAAGGAATCAGATTTCCAAAGGTGGATGTGTAGAGCTGGCCAGTTAGCTCACTTGGTTAGATAAATAAATAGAGAAGGAAGACATGTTAAGAAGAGAGGGTGTCCTTTTTAGCCTTTATTGAAGTGCAGCGGGTATAGAGAAGGGCCTGGGTCGTAGGTGCACAGCCAGCTGCATCACAAACTGAACATACTTGTGCAATCAGCACGCGGTGGAGAAACATCACTGCACCCCGGAAACCCTCTCATGCCCCCTCACAGTAAGGATAACCCTCATCCTGATTCTAACAGGGTAGATATAACATTCCATTTCTGATTCAGTTGTTTTATAAAATCAGAATAACACCCCAAAATGTCCCCACCTATCTTGTATTAGGGAGAATGGGAATGTCAACCTCTGCTGTCCACAGGGAACAGGTCAGAGGACGCGGCGTCCCCAGGTTCTTGGGGTTAGGCAGATGTGGGTTCCAAGTCCTTCAGGGGCTCGGGTCCCCTGGCAGTGCCTCCTGGAGAGGAGGGAGGCTGGCTCCAGGGAAGACCCTACAGACGCTCACATCCACTTCCCTTGTGCCGTGGCAGGAGTGCTTGTCGCGCCTCCTGTCCACCTGTGGCCCCATCCAGTCTGTGGAGCTACAGGAGAAGCCAGACCTTGCTGAGAGCCCAAAAGAGCCAAAGTCGAAGTTTTTTCACCCCAAGCCCGTTCCGGTAAGCCTCTCAGTACTGGCTTCTGCTAGAATGGGGGTGGGGCTAGCGCAGTGTCCCCAGTGTTTGGGGGGTGGCAGTGGGACTTTGAGAGCATTCCCTGCAGTCCTGGGCTAGTCCTTGCAGTGTGGGGTCTAGGAGGCTTTCAGGATGACAGAGCTTCCAATTCTTACCAGGATTTGCTACATCCTTTAACTTCCTGCCTGGCTTTTCGCACTGTCCTATGTTAAAGCTCTGGGCCCATCTCTACTCGCTGCCCTGAAGGGCCTCCTAAGGCTCCTCACCTGCTTCCCCTGAGGTAGATTCCTTCTCAGGCTAGGTAACCTCGGCCTCCAGGAGCACAGTGTCCCTTGTCCCTTAAGCCCACCCTCCTTGTACAGTGGAGTCTGACGTAGCATGTGTGCCCTGTCTGTGCATCCACGCCAGGCCTGGCTTCTATGAACCT